TTTTTTTTGAGACAGGGTCTCACTCTGTTGCCTGGGCTAGAGTGGCATCATCATAGCTCACTGCCAACCTCAAACTCCTGGGCTCAAGTGATCTGCCTGCCTCAGCCTCCCAAAGTGCTAGGATTACAGGTGTGAGCCACTGCACCTGGCCCATAGTTTATATTCTTCACATGAGATTTACATGTACCATTTAATTTACTTTGACTGCTTTTCAAATTTTGTTTTTAAAAACACTAGTATATCCCATGTTCTATGTTAAGTTCTTTGCATTCATTATCGTGTTCAATTCTCACATCTAACCCATAAAGTAGATGTCATAATTTCAATTTTAAAGATGTGGAAGCTGAGCTTATAGAAGTTAAATAATTTGTGGAATCCAGCACAGTTACGTGTATTAGGCCAGAATTTAAATTAGATCTGATGCATCAACACAGAGTATGAAAGCTCTTGCCATAAATTGCTCAGTGAAGGTGCCTGTCTTAGAATAGCCTGCTTGTGATCTATAATTAGTGAACCAAAACAAAACACAACTTTGTCAATACAGTCTGAGAAAGCAAGCTGGTATCATAATTTCAGTAACGTATTATATAAGAATATCACTAGAAGTATCAAAAAAAGAGCAAACAATCCTTAACTCTACAAATGGGTGATCATTTTGAAAGACATTATCAAGCCCTAAAGTCTCAAAAATTTCACTGGCATTCCCATTTACTATGTGTAATTTTAGGAAAATCATTTAATCTTTCAGAGACCTTTCTGTACCTGTAAAACAGAAGTAACAATAACTGCCCTACCTTCCTCGCAACATTGTTTTAAGAATAATACAAGATGACATAAATGAAAGTACTTAGCAACCTATAAAAACCCTACATGAAGGTAAATCTAAGTGTATTATTAAAATGACAAAATTTGAAAGTAAATATGGCATAAAGCATTAGTGTTTGCAATTTTATAATCAATTCTAAGAATAAAAATTATTCCAAGAAATTCCTTGAAAAGCTCTAACAAAATGACAGCACAAAGTAAAAAAGGAGTGTTTAAAAAAACCCTATATTTAATGATAAAAGAGTTCTGCGATGAACACTGTACACAGAATAAAATTCTAGACAACTTAAGTTTGCCTTCAATCTTTATCAACATTAAACTTTATACTGCCAACAAGGACTACAAATGTCACAAAACAAAGTTGAGACTCAACTCTAGAAGCTGTCTCTAAGGTTCAATGAGCTTTCTCCTGCACTCCAAGGCCCATTCTCACCTGTTTCACTAGTAGGACGAATGGCAATTGGTTCTGCCAACTCTGTTTTGCCCGATCTTGTAACCCAAGCAACCTAGTAAGATAAAATCATTTTCACACATTTTTTTAACAGTATTTTAGAGCAACAGTACCAATGCAAATTTTCTCTATTTCAATTTTTACTACATCAATTAAGGCAAGTTAAAGTAATCGCTGCTGTTCACTGTGAGGAAAGGTATGGACTTATTGACCTAAATATCATGAGAAAAGGAAAAGTTAGTTAAGTAGTTAATGTGACAAATACAACTTGCCACAGAGGTAGAAATGTAACTTTTTAACAAAAACAGTTTTACTTTTCTCTGAATTGTTATACACTATTGAAAACATCCTTTTGGGTTTATGAAGAAAACTACAAATTACCTACCTCAGGGGCAAAGTCAGCAATATGATTCTTCTCTTTCTCTAATGCACCTTGAGACACAAACATGGGGAAATAGCAGTTTTCAACACCAAGTTTCTTGATCTCAGCATCAAAAAAGTCCTTGATGGATTCCCAAATGGAATAGGCCCAGGGACGAAGAACGTAGCAGCCACTTACGTCGTGGTATTCAATCATTTCTGACTTTGTGATGACCTTTGTAAAAGAAAAATAAAGCCTTTAAAGCCTAAACTGAACAAAATTCTAGCACGAGTGGCAAAGAGTATGATAACCAAAATTCAAATCTGGAGGCTTCCACTACCAATACATTCTCTTAACATGGAAGGTCATAATGGAAGTAAAACAGACCTTACCATACTGAGAACCAACACGTAACAGGGCTCCAAACTCTTAAGAAGACTTGAATTCCAATCTTATCTCTGCTATTTACTATCTGTGTGAGTTTGGACTAATCCCTTCACCTCACCACTTAAAAAAAAATCAAATAATGACTATCTCGTGGGGCTACTTTTCAATTCAATACTTTATGTGACTATGCTATGAAAACTGCCACATGTTACATGACTGTTCTCTGTATTAAAGGTTATTATAAATTATTACTATTAACTTTGTGCCTAGACTTTAGAAGCTAAACATAAATCAGCCCTACAGAAATTTAAAACATAAAAATCAACTGAATGCATACTCACTTGAGAGTACCAATCAGCAAAATTTTCTTCTTTTTTTGCCTCAAGACCCAACCTATAGATATGAAAAATAAAATATAAATGCCTTTAATTCAGCAATGGCTTTTAGGATAAATGAAATTAAACCTCTAAAGTTTAAAATAGATTAGATTTTCTTTATTATGAGTTATTTCTATATTCTTCTATATTCATTCCCAAAATAATGTTTTTAACCTACAAAACAGATGAGTTACCTCTTAAAAGAAGGTGAGATATCATCCACAAAAACTAGGAAAGCCAAATGTAACAAAAACTATGATTTTAATGCAGATATCTCTTTTACAAAGCTTTTTTTAAGGTAATATATTTGTAATAGAGACACAGACTATTCGCATATATTCTCCCATTAAAAAAGAAGATTCTTCTGCCAGGTAAAATTACAGTTATTAATATCAGCATTTCACTGAAAGTAACACCTAAAAATAAAAACAATGTCTATAAAAACGCACATATGTATGTGTATTTATGTGTGCACATTAAGGTATATACATATGCATACATATGCTACAAGTTTTTCCTTTAACTACAGTAAAAGTTGCTTGTAAAATAAACTAGATCTGCAATAAAAAACTATTGCAGACAATAATCCTTTTCTTGAAACACCAACGATTATTCAGGGAACTGTGGTCTCGTGATCCACAAAGAAAGATCTACTCATTAGTTGTGATTTATAAAAGATACATCTTTTTAGAGTTTACAAATAAAGCTTTATTGGCTTAAAATTTTAACGTATTTGGCCGGCGCGGTGGCTCACGCCCGTAATCCTAGCACTCCCGGAGGCTGAGGCGAGAGGACGCTTGAGGTCAGGAGTTCAAGACACCAGCCTGAGCAAGAGTGAGACCCCATCTCTATTAAAAATAGAAAAATTAGCTGGGTGTGATGGCTAGCACCTGTAGTCACAGCTACTCGGGAGGCTGAAGCAGGAGAATCGCTTGAGCCCATGAGTTTGAGGTTGCTGTGAGCTAGCCTGACGCCATGGCACTCTAGCTCAGGGACAGAACAAGACTCCATCTCAAAACTAAATAAATAAAAATAAATTTGTTTTTAAAAAATTGATTTCACAGTTGAATTCGCCCAAAACTCTGCTTTACTTCAAATAGCGTTTCTATGTTTTATTACCTGGTCTGTTTCTTAGGCCCTTGCCCTTCTCCTGCCCCACCTGATGAAGGCAGCCCACTTCCTTGGTTTTTAGAAGAGTCTTTCTTTTGGCCATCATTTTGTTTCTGAGGCTTATTCTGCTTTTCAGATTTATTTTCTTTTTCTTTCTTCTTCTTATCCTTGTCCTCAGCTCCAGTGGCAGACACAGGCTTATATTCTACTCCTGTCAGAGACTTGTACTGTGCCTTCAGCCGAAGGAGATCTTGTACAGCTGTATCTACTTGATCCTTCAGTTGAACAAAGGAGAAAAAGAGAAGATGGTATTTAATTAAAATTACCGCTTAAGCACACTTAAACAAATACAATTTCCAAAGCTTTAAAAGCAGGTTTACAAACACAACTAAAGGCAGAGGGGTATGAGGTAGGGAGTTGAGAGTGTTAAACACACTAATTATTGAAAATAAATAAAAGAATATCACAAATGGATAGAACTGCGCAAAAGAGTAGAAAATAGTACGGTCTATAACTGTACTGTCCAAACAGTAGGCACAAGCCAGATGTGGGTATTTAAATTTAACTTAAAGTAAATAAAATTAAAAATTCATTTCCTTAGTCACCATAGCCACATACATTCAAGTGTTCAATAGCCACAGGTGGCTAATAACTACTGTATTAGACAATATTATTATAGAACATTTCCATCACTGCCCAAAGTTCTATTAGAAAGCACTGTTATATAATGTATTCCATGGGCATCTACATTAAGAGCCATCATGTAAGTTGAACATTTCATAATTATAAAGACGACCATAATGACATTCTGTATTTATAAGTTAAACTTCAAAAACCTAAGACTTACTGTCTTCCACTCATGAATATGTACAAAAATAAAATCCTACTCCTATAAAGACGATACAATTAGCAAAAACTACACCAGAGCTCAAAATAAAACCTACTGTTTGAGACTGACAGAGCTTTAGGACAATCAATCAAAAACAAGTTAGGTATTAAGGGCCTACAATGAGCTAGGCACTATGCTAGGGTCTAGGTCCCTATTCTCCAGGATCTTATAGATTAGAAAGAAAGAAACAATTTAATGTAGAGTGTTTAAGTATTTTGTCAGGGAAGGGCAGTATCATATGAAAACATCCAGTCAAGTCTAGCTGGGGGACAAAAAGATCAACAAAGGTTTCTCTAACAGGCAAGATAAGAGAGTTGAGAACTGAAACATGAGTGGAAACTAGTCAGATATGATGGGACAGAAAGTGTTCCAGGCAAAGAAAATAGGCTGAAACGTAAAAAACAAAAACACACAAACAAAATACCACACTAACCTTAGAGGCTTTTTCAGCTTTAAGTTTCCGAACTACTTCTCCTTGAGAAGCTACCTTGTCAAAAAGTACTTTGGCTTCTGATGTTTCTGGATCAGCAGGCTCAGAGTTTCTGGTTGGACTTGAATCTGAACTTTGAGATAATGGAGGCTGACCAGGTATGTACTCCTTCCCAGTTTTTTCTTTATACTGAGCTTTCAGGGACAGTAAGCATTCTACAGCTTCATTTATTTTAGCCTGAGATAAAAGAAGACCAGAGATAAAATATTTAATACTTTCTGAAATTCCCGCACATTTCAATGCCATTTAAAAATCTTCAATTATGAGCAAAGTATTCCTGTAAATAAGTTAATCATGGAGAAACCCATGTTAAATCATCAGCCTAAAATAAGATAAAGCTAAAGAAATATTAAAAATATAAGTTATATATAGTCTCCCATACACAAGCCATAAAAATAAAAAACACTCATAGACATACACCACTATAACTTTCTATTTTATATAAACAGACGAATTACAGAACATCCAAGTAAACTGTCAGTGTCAAGCACTGAGCCTGTAAATAGTGAAATCGGAATTTACAAAATCAGAGTAAAGATAAGATCAATGACTCTGCCTATACAAACCTTATTTTTTTCAACCGGCTAAAGAGACATTTAATACAACATCGAAAAAAATAAAGTTTGGGCCCAACTTCAGAGAGTTACATCACTCTTTTAAAACTTTACAATGAAATGAGAAAGTATGTCACAATGACAAATAATGATACACTCGGCACAAATGAGACACTTGTGACCCTACAGCAGAGAAGGACAGCAACACAGGCAAAGGACTCAAGCTGGATGCCTTCCCTGAAACGGTGGTACCATCTACCCACAAACCAGTGTACCACTGGGAACCTCGGGGTATCAATCAAAATAAAGAGAAAAAGTGCTTCCAAATTACCCTATGCAATTTTTACTGCTACCTTCTAATTGTGCTTCACATAGGTAAGTGAAACCCAACAGAAGGCAGGAAGAATACTGAAAGGGGGGTCAGGAATCCAGGAAAGCACTGTACACCTTTAAAAAAAAAAATCATTCTATGACACAGCAAATCACATTTCCTTGTCTAACTAATTCATAATAGAATGTTTTCCTGTTTGCTGACTTAGTCTATCATACCAAACCCACACAAAGGGAGTAAAATTAAGAGAAAATGTACAAAAAGAAGAAGAAGGTAGGTTGTCTGATCTGTACTCCTGAAGTGTCTCCTGTTCATATTTTTTTTTTTAGAACTAAAAAGAATTTTCATAACAGAATCCACCTTATCCTAAGAAAAAGGGCAAAGTTAACGAGACATACAGGAATCAAGACAAAGAGAAATTTCCATCAGTTAAAAGAAAATGGAAAAATGTTAAGAGACTCCCTTACAACCATTTCTAGAAAAAGGCCAATTTGAAAGAAGTTCCATTTTACACTAAAAGCAGCATTCACTGGCATTTGAAGTCAAATATACTTTTCACACAGAAAAAACCCTTGTTTGGCAAGATTACAATTTGAAATATCATAAAGGAGAAAATTAAGGTGGGCAAACACTTCATTATTGAATGTCATATTCTGAGAAGAATTATATATACATGTATTGTGCACCCCCCCCCCGCTCTGGGACATGGAATATTCTAGATATTAAGTGACTTATTCAGGTTATTTTTCCAAAAAGAGTAAAATTACACTAATCACTATTATGCAATTTTTTCTGATGATTTAGAAGGTTCCTAAAGATTCTTGAGAAAATTAGAATTATGAATATGAAAAGTAATCATTATCATTTTATGGCATATTTACTCTGTGCCAGACACTACGATAGGTGCTTTACATGAATTATCTTATTTAATTCTCAAAACAACCCTTATCCTTATTTTACATAAGTAAAGCTTAGAAAGATTAAGTTTCTTGCCCAAAGTTACACAATAAGTGTCAGAGCTAGTATTTGAATCTAGGGTTTATTCCAGAGGCTGTGATCTTGACCACTATAGTTTGTGTAGCATTACAGAAGTTATGAGACAATGATCTAAATGTACATTTTAACCCTACTAACATTCCACGAAAACTGCTTTTCCAGTCTTACTCTGGATCCATCTCTTAGAATACATAATGCAGAACTGAAGGATGGGGGGAAAATAATCTTTTAGTATTCCAGTTTTCTGGATTAAAAGACATATATAGAAATTGGAGGGTGTACTATTTTGTACAATATTGTACAAAAGCAGAAGCTTAAAAGAGTGCTTATTGATAGAGTTTAAGTTCTTAATGAACAAAGACTGTTTTAAACTTATCTAACATATGCCAACACAAACACGAAAAGTTTTCAATAAATAATTGCTGATGTAGATCAATGAGAAGGAAAACAGTCTACACAAAAGACTTCATTCAGTTAAGGTTGAAGGTGGGAATCTGAAGTAAGTAAAAGTGATTCTAAAATTATGATTGAAAATTGGGAGGTCAAAAAAATGGAGAAAATGGAGAACTCACCTAGTTACATTTAGAATGAAAAGTACTCAAACAGCTATTTTTGCAGCAGCCACTAGATGGAAACATTTCTCCATAGGGCGAGAATGGAACTTTAATAAAAGGAAAAACCAAGAACTTTATCAATTTGAAAGGATAAGAACAGAACCTTTCGAAACGGCCTGGACATCTCAATTCTAAATGAAAATGCTTTTTTCAAAAAATATTTCTTTCAAACTTTATTTTTTCCTACTCCATTACTGGTCACTCGCCTTTGCTCCTTACTAGCATATCTGAGAATTACACCTACATACACATCAGTAATGACAATTCCCTAAAGCAGAGGTTCTCACTTGGTGGGGTGGAGATGAATGAATGGTAATCAGAACAGGAAATCCTTCCAAACGAGGGAGGGGGAGTGCTGAACTTGTATTATATTTTTAAAAGTCTGCTGGAAGATTTAGTGAACTAAGAGTTCACAAGTTCTCAAAGAAGGGCATTTTAAAAAAATAATCAACTGACTAGAAATCTGTACTTAGCTTAAACACCTAAACCTGTATAGAATAGCCCAATTACTGAATCCTGGCCCTGGGAGCCAATATGGCGCAGGGCAGAACCCAGATGCTGGAGTCAAACCCAGGTTAGAAGACCCGCTCTGCTGCTTATCAGCTGTGTCGTCTGGTTCATTTACCTAAATCACAACCTACCTACTACTTTTCTCTGACACTAATCAATTAATACGAATTTCTCAGATTTTCCTAGAAGAACCCTAAGTCTTGTGAAGTGTCCTGAACCACAATCTGCTGTAGGATGGATTTGTACTTGTTTAGATCAAAAGCAAGTTTGTATTAAGCACCAGATACAGATATGGCAGGAACCCACAGCACACAAATTCCAAACAAGAATCTCAAAAAACATCCAGGAAAGGATGAATTTGTTTCTTCTTATCTTCTCCCCCTACAACCTTTATTTTTTGGCCTGAGAAATCTTAAAGCTTTTTGGAGTAGGAGTACAGGGTAGCTATTTTCCTTGTTTACTGGACAAAGGGGTACAACAATGTATTTCCTGTCCTGATAACCTGTGATTTGGGTTTTAAAAACAAAAACATTGGTGTAAAAAATAGAAGAGCAAAGTTTGGCAAAATATTTTGGATGAATTATTGGAGGTATAAAATACAAGGTGCTACAAATTAAAATGCTGCAACTGTTAGCCGGGCACAGGCTCACACCTATAACCAACCCCAGCACTTTGGGAGGCTGATGTGGGAGGATCACTTGAGGCCAGGAGTTTCAGACCAGCCTGGCCAACACAATGAGACTGTGACTCTAAAAAAATAAAAATAAAAAAATTAGTCAGTCATGGTGGCGCGTTCTAAGTTGCAGTGAGCTATCATCCAGCCACTGTCCTCCAGCCTAGGTGACAGAGCAAGATCCAGTCTTTTAACAAAACAAAACAAAAAACTGTAACTGCAAAAGTAAACAGTGATCAGCAACCCCCTTCACGCAGACTGGGTAAAGGGAGAATGTTAGTGACAAGACAAAACAATTGTGAATTATTTTTATATAATGTAATAATCATTTGATTTTGCTGTCACTTGTTACTTGCATTTTAAAAAATTATTAACTATAAAGGTCCTCGAAACTCTCCTCTAGGGCAGGGGTCAGTAAATTTTTTTCTATAAAGGACAACTACTCAACTCTGCAGCTGTAGCATGAAAACAGCCATAGACAATATATAAACTAATGAGTGTGGCTGTATTCCAATAAAATTTCATTTACAAAAAACACATGCAGGCGACATTTGGCTGCAAGCCATATAGTCTGCTGAACCAGGCCTTAGAGCCTAAAGTGTCACAACATTTCATAAAGCCTTTACCCTTTTCTAGGTCCCATCTCAAACAATACTATAATTTCACGTTCGAAACACTGTACTCATTTAGATTTCAAATCAGCGAATCTGTTCAAAATCAAAATGTTCTTTTTTGAAACTACAACTTTAGAACTTTAAAAGTTAATATTTAAAATTTAAAAGGTGACCTTAGGCCAGGTGTGGTGGCTCACACCTATAATCCTAGCACTTTGGCAGGCTGAGGCAGGAGGATCACTTGAGGTCAGGAGTTTGAGATCAGCCTGGGCAACATAGTGAGACCATGTCTCTACAAAAAATTTTTAAAATTAGCAGGGCATGGCAGTGCATGTGTGTCATCCCAGCTACTCAGGAGGCTGAGGCAGGAGGATCACTTGAGTCCAGGAGTTTGAGGTTGCAGTGAGCTATGATGATGCGACTGCACTCTAGCCCAGGCAACAGAGACCCTGTCTCAAAACAAAAAAAGTGACTTTAATTTTTAAAGTAACTTAATATTCAGTATTATTACATCTTTGGGGTATTCTCTTTTATGCACCTCACATCCACTATTTTAATGTAGCAACCTATTGAGCAGCAGAAAAAAGGTAAGAGGAGCAAAAGAAGGTAGACTTGAAGGAGAAATTGAAAGCAGACTTCCAGGTTTTTATTCCTTGCCTATCATTTTGCTATACTCTGCCTTTATGCTTAAAAGTTCTCTTCTTCACAAAGTCCCCTAACTGATTCTAAAGCAGATAAGGGAAGGGGAAAAAAAAAACAATCAAATAGAGCAAGGAAAGTCCAACTGAAACCAGTAACTTTAAAATTTAAGCTGGTCACTTTCCTAACCATTAAACATGACATGGTAAAATAACTACTTTTGTAGAAAATGGAATGGTTAAGAGG